GCTGTTATGCAAATTTGTTATTATTTATCAAGTACACTTGTCAGCTTGTTACTTCTTCGTAGTTGAATTGAATGACATCGTGTCATTTGGTTAACTTACAGTCATGATAAATGACAGCAATTATGAAATAATTCTTATCTCTAAAAGTCACTTAATGACGGTATATCAACTCACAGGTTACATACATCGACAAAAATAGAAAGATGATCATGAAATGTAAGTTGATGAAAGCAATCCTTAACTACATATCTGATAACATATTCCTGCAATTTCTCTGGATAAGTTAATAAAAATCATGAAAAGCCACATTCAATGTAGGACGTAACAACTGAGATAGTAAATGAGTATCTATATAGATTTATAGAGCTACTGCTACATTAACGTCTTCGGTGTGTGATTAGGCCCATTACACCACATAAGTAGAAGACTTTACTTCACAAATGGATTGTAACGAAGACTAAAATTAAACTGGATCTTAAGGAAATGGTTGGGGGGTGCATTGGATTCATCTCCCTCAGGATAGCCACCAATGGCAGACTGTTGTAAACACAGTAATAAACTTCCGAGTTACTTAAGGATGACAAATATTACCTGAGCAACTGTTAATTTAAAAGGAACAGTTTGCTTCATGAAATGACTTAGAATGTAATTACCGTGTGTACAAAAGTCCTCTATTACACCTTATTTTGAGATAGATGAATCCAGCCAACTGCTCATTCTAATTTTATAATGTCTTGTCCATTAATATCTGAAAAACTAAAATAATTAACAGCAGTACAGCTGACTAGCTATGAGACGAGGATGGAAGCTGTACTGCTGTAAAATTTTCTGTTACTAGCGGGTAAAAAATAGGCCGGCAACCCCTCTTAACGAACTTCTGCAGTATTTCTGTCTATTATATACTCGATAATTGTAAATTTAAAAATAAGCAGCTTAGAAACTTAACAATTAGGTACTGTGCAAATGAGCAACACAGAAATGCAAATTAATGAGACAAAGAACCATGTCTACATTTATCAGAAACTAATTAGGAAAACGTTTCACGCAGACGCATAACCGTCTTTCCAGTGTTAATATTGTACGGACGCAAATGTATTTACTCTCTTGACAGTTCTGCCACACCACCGCTCCTTCCATTAAGTTCGGAAGGTAGCTTCTATGTCTATTAGCGTAAACTCACCAGTATCCTCGTCAGTTAATCATTAACAAGCGGGTTACCGTATCTAATTTCGTACCGGATTCTGTAAACCTCAGAAGTTGACACATTATCGTAAAATAACCGAATAAACAAACGAGGAAAGTTGGACTCTGTTTCACTGTTAATACCAGTAGCACAGCTCTAAATATAACCCGATACACATTAAGTGGTTTGGAACCATCTTGTTGCTATCAACAGATCGACAGCTAACGCTGACCAGCAAGCCGGAGTGTGACGGCCGACGCCAGGCGTCGGTGTGGACTCCTCGAGAGACGGCGATATTTTTACCAAGCCAGACGTTTTATAAACACTCAAGTGCTATGCTGTGTACGAATGTCTGTCTTAACAGGGTTGACGTGACTGAGAGACAAGCGCAAATCAAAAATTCTTGGAAGGAACGCAGAATGTTAATGTTTCTTTCGAGCACAAACACTGGGACCCGACTTTTTATATTGGAATACACTTCAGAATACTTATTCCTCTCCATAACTTATCTGACGCGGAACGTTCATGTTAAGTGTGTTGGATAAACGAAAATTATAAAGTCTTCTGTCTAACTTATGTGGTTCAGTGGTACTGAAGTACAACAGATGTGATCAGGTATCGTTAGCCAGCTACCCGAGGCTTACGTTCATGGCGAACGTCTGACTGGCTTGAGCTGGCTAATCATTAACGATGTCCATCAAACTTGAAACAGGAACAGATTTTATAAAGGACAAAACTCCGCAAACATACACTGCATTCGAGTCCCGATGAGGGCAGTTCATGTAGCTCGAAAACTAAGCTCAATAGAAGAATGGCGCAAAGACCAATATTGTATGTTTCGAAGAGGGGGTTACAGATTCGTAGGTCAGAATCCGTAAAAACGGTCCACGATTCCACTACCAGTGAAGATACATTTCGTACCTTCAAAACTATGATATATGCTTAATTCCTATATCATCAGAGCGTGCCCTGATAAAGAAGATGGCAAGTACCTCTGAGTCGTCTGTCAATTTCTACGAGACTACACGGCGCAAAATCCGAGAAGACAGTCACATTCAAACTTGCGGACACGAAAACTTTAAATCTAAAAATTTGGCCTGATCTTGCTTTGCATATCTTACGCTACGGTTTACTGCTTCTCTAAAGTGCATTAAAATGAGATGTATCATTGCTTCATGCAAGTTAGATCGATCGGTGTTCAGACTAACCATACATATTTTACACTTCAGAGGCGATAAACTCACGTTATAAATCGATAGAATATCAAATGGGAGTATAAAATGGGTAGTAATCTGTGCCACGTTATGTACAAAAAGAAAAGAAAAACTCCACGTGGACTTCCTGTGGGTTTAACAACATGCAGCTAATAAGTATGTATTCTGACGACTCTAGTTTGGGAGGGATTGGTCAAACGTTAAGTCGTTGCTGCTATACTCGTACACCTACATGTCTGATACAAAGAGTGACACATGAAGCAGGATTAAGACACATATTTACTTTTGGTATTATTAAATTTAAGTACCAGGAACGCATGTAACGTGCTATGTACTACTACGTATGTACCATGTATAACTCCCCCCTGTCCTCTTCTTGTTCTAATTCACTATGCACGCCGTGTTACAATATTGGAGAAGGGCAACTTCGTTAGTTTTTAACTGCATAACAATTAACAGAATTAATTAGAACATATAATAGAAAATGGCAGCTACTGTATTATTTAGGTTGTTTGCACAGAAATTTCCTTCAGGATTATTAACTTACATCCAAAGGTGTTCAAAATTATGGTAACCATATGTGAGCACACAAACCAGAACGGTGTTTATATGCTCGGATTCTGTTAAAACTTGAAGCAAGAAGTGAGAAAGCCAGCTTACCTAAAGAATATTTAAAAATCCAGTTTATACTCATACTTTCTTACGAACATCGTGTTGTTGCATGGTACTCATGAAATAAACAGCCACAAAAGTGGAATTTGAAAATATCGAATCTAAACAGAAATGCAGAGGTAGCTGATATAAAATGCCATAAGAACGAAATTGATTTTTCCTCTGTAATGTCCTAGCGTGCGTCTACCAAAAATGACTTATAGAAAAACAAACTCCATTGTACAAAAAAGTTCTAGGATTAGAAAATAAATATCACAGGTGCAGGAGATCAGGGTCTTTTATTATTCAATATGTACGAGACTGCTTTTGAAGAAGTCACTAAAGCACCTAGCATGTGGCTTACTCGATGGGAATTAAAAGAACTCCAAGCAAATAAAGAATGCGTTAGAAATAACGTAGAACTTTAAATCTGTCGTTCATTAATGGTTTGTCTTAGGCATTTTATTTTATACACATTACGTTTCAAGACTTGTCTTAACATCGATTGTAATCACCTCACTAGACAAAATCAACAAGGGACGACAAACTTCCTGTTGTGGTTTCCTCTACCATTCATCATAATTTACTACTTTTATTAGTTCCATATTAGCCCCGTACGAACTATTACAATATAGGTCGATTTGTAATCGAAATGGTATTAGACCTACATTTCTGTTGAAATCAACCGACGTGTCCTTTCTGGATGAGTGTTTTCTTGCTATTCAGTCTAAAAATGATATCAACAGAATAATTTAATTAGTATCCCGTCTCTAGTACGAAATATGAAGTTTTTGAGTACGTACAGAATAACGTTTCTCATATGTTAAGCGGTTTATTTCGTGTCTGATAAGAAACGTTCTGACGATCAGGAACTCAACATGAATGTATTGCGATGTCATGCCGTTATGATCAGATTCTATCGTCATGTGAACTACGTCACCATTTTAAGTTTCATATAGCAAATATGAAGTGTGGTACATGTACGGTGTCGAAATCTTTTGGAGACTGTGTAATGCAAGTCTCATTTTCGTCTCCTGCATGTTGCAATGCGGGAATTTTCGTCGCTTTTGGAACTTCCAACACGGGTATAAAATATTAACCGAAGATTTCGAATGGATAATTTAAATGTGTCCTTCTAAAATTACTACATTTTTATTTACACATCTTAACTTGCATGTCTTTTCTATTTAATGTGATTTAGCGGACATGAAAAATACATTTACAAACACAAATTAGCACTTAAAATATACTGTAGGAAGAGTAGAAAATTACGTTTCTCATAGATGGAATTTTAAGAAAGCATGTTTACTTAAAAACTAGTTCTGTAAAAAGTGCTTGAAATTCTGAAAAAGAAAATATTGATTGCGCAATGAACGTACATTATCACGAGGAATAGTTATTTCACCTGGAGATGTCTAAAATGTAAACACACGGTTCCTGAAATGTTATAATTTAAGTAGACCTTTAAAACAAACTGAAGCAGAAAGTTAATTTATTGACACGATATTTTAAAATTTTATATTCAGAACTAGAAGAACATCCCGTTCGACACATAACCCGCTTAAAAATAAGCATGTTCGAAAGTCGCCTTCCTGCAAACGACCTTCTCGAAACCTCACATTTCTTCACGTTTCTCGAGTATGAATCAGAGTAGAGACATTAATTTTTCTAGGCGTACGTTTATAACTAATATCATATTTCTACACTCACATTGAAAATTTTCCTTATATCCTTCGCTTTTAGTGAATGATCTTTTACGTTTCATCCCTTTGTCATAGAAATTGTTGTTCTGGAATTGTTATCCTGAATAAGCACTTAAATTGGTAAATATTTCTTGCAAAGGCTTTGTTTCTTATTAACTTTCATCTGTACTTCGTCCTCTGTTAGTCACTATCCACTTCTAACTCGTCTCGAAACTCCAGATGTCTCTACTGTCTCTTCTGTTGTTACAGTGGGCTTCGGTTGCTTCGTGGTTTTTTCGCCCCGACTCTTCACCACTCACCTGCACCACTACAAACACCAACACTACAACTACCGGTAGTTCCTGCACAACCAGAACTACCAATATCATCACCAGTAGGTCACCCGGTGATCCCGCAACCATCGGCGAAAGGCATTTCGCCCTTGCGCCAACCATTTGCACGGTAAACACCATAAAGAAATCTCAACGCCTGGAATTGCTTGCTTTAAATAACTTGTACCATTTAATCTTCACGCTTTATCTGCAGCTCTCAACCCAACATGCACTTCATCAGTTTCGTTGTATCTCTGTAACAGACGTCATCTGACGTGGAATATTTACAGAACTTGCGGACGAAGCGTCGACACAGAATACGAATTATAATTAAATAATAGCATCAAGGTCAAAAGGCTGATATGACGTCGGCGTGTGTGTTTGCCTACACTCACAGGGGATATTTTTAAATGGGGGCAGAGCAGGAGGAAAACGTTTAAAAATAGCATACTTCGTAATAATGACGCCAGGTGGATAATAGTCTAAGTTTGATGATACCATTAGGCTCATTTTAGACGTTTTACTAATATGGGTGACGAAAATTATGTGATAACACGAAAGATAAATACGTGGAAAAAAAGATTGAGAGCTGAAAAGGTCCGGAGATAGGGATTAGCTCTATCTAGTGGGCCCAACTGTGTAGGAACCTGAAGACGGAGATAGAGTCCCATCTCCGAAACGTCGTTTTTTACGTTTTATATTTACTAGACGATGGATAATAGCCAAGGAAATTTTTATTCAATTGGAATTATACTATTTGTAAAGTTTATTTTCGGTTTATTTAAAGTCGATATTTGTATCTCAGACCATAATAACGTCGAATGACACGATCATGAGTGAGTAAAGAATTTGAAAGGATACGGAAAGAAAGGATCGCCGCCTAATTTAAGGTAACTATCGGCATGTGCTTGGAGGATCGAAGGAACAAAATAAGAGGAATTTCAGACAGGGTAGCCAGACGGTCTCCGGGTCAAGATTTGAGCCCGTACCTCACGAATATGAAGCAGGAGTGCTAACCACTCGACAGAAACATTTGGTGTTTACAGTAGACAACCATAAGGTTTTAAATGCTGTTTCAGCAAAGGGATTCCCCGTCATGAAACATATCATTTTTCATTGTCACACAATTTGTGATCAGTTCTATTCTTCGTTTGGTAATATTAACTAATCGCAACCGATGGGTATCTTTAAATATGTTCATATCTAACTATATAACTAACTAATTAGTCAACTAATCAATTAACTAACTCTACGGAACTGAGTCCTTCTGGTGAATCTGGCAGTCGTTGTATTGGTCAATAATTTACCCACCTCTCATGGAACCCAAAACTTCATTACAATGCTCGTGAAATTCCATTAACGGTCCTAATGGAGAGCCGTATCAGCGCAGGCCACACCCTCCAACTGCATTCCCTAAGATACATTTTAATATTATCCACCCGTCTACGCCCGAGTGGTCTTCTTTCGTTCAGGCCTTCAAATCAAAATTTTGTTACGAGTTTCTCATCTTCCCATGTGTACTACAAGCTCGCCCATCTTGTTCTGTACGCTTTTTAAAGTTACTTTTATACGATCAGTAGGTTTAAACACGTCCACTATTAAAAGCGACTGGACATTCTCGTTTTAAACAAATTCCTATTTTCATACCCTATAGAAACAGAAAAGGGCGTCGCTGCCAAGAAAAGAAATCTGGCCATGTGCGAACATCACGTAAACCGAAAAAAACAAGGCCGGCCGAAGTTTGCCGAACCGTCTACAACGCCGTGTTCCTCACGACTTCAACACGGCATGTCTCTTAAACACAGAAAGGGTTTAACCCTTCGAAGCACAAAGGTCATTACTTAATGTTGTCTACGGAAATAATAGTTGTTTATTCTATAAATCATAAAAAAAATTCATTCTGTGGGCAAAACAGACTTTCGGACTGTTAGTGCAGGTGAATTGTGAATTAAAATTTCAAAGATACTTAATGCACAGAAACATTAAATATTAATTAAAGAATTTATTAATATTCAGGTCGGAAAATCAAGCTGGATAAAATTGTTTGCCGCTAAAATCAAAGAGAGTCGTATTTTAGGCAATATTTAAAATTACCTGCAGTGAAGAGACTACTTGGTAGACGTAGATGTAGATGGGATGATAAAATTCCTTGTGTCGTGGATTGGATTCATCTTGCTCAGGACAGAAGCCACTGGCGTTCTTTTGTTAACAGGTCAAAGGACCTTCAATCTGAGCAACTACCAGTTTCTTGTGGATTCTTCTCAGTGGATTTTGTTAATTTTTCCCGCTCGTTCATTTATAAATTTCTAGAAGTTTTGAAGTAATAGGCTACCTGAAAACCTTGAAACCATATTCCGCCCGAATATAACCTGACTTTAGGCAACATGACATTACCACACACACATATCTTTTTTGCCAAAATATATTCTGTGTCATTAGAATATAGATTGAAAACTGTTCACAGGCTAAGGCAGAAAGCTGTTACAACACAGTCATCTAGTTTTTGGGTCCCGGTGTCTAGCTAATGAACTCCGTTTTATCTCTCTCTGCCTTTCTCATGTCCGACCCTTCAGTCATTTGTTTCCCTCCCGAGCAGTAATTACAGGTTTAGGGTCAGGTAGATATAAAGTTTGGGTTTTCTGCCCTCTTAGACGTAAGCTAGAGGCGAGGCGATAGGACACATGGCAGCAAGAAGTCAGGCGCTCCTATTTCGTTCTCCTGTTTTTCAATTTCATCTGTCTGTTGCATTGTCTCAACACATCCTCGCTTTTATTATTTTCATTTGAAATTAAGTTTTCTTGTTAAGGGCATTTGTGCAATTTAATCAGTACTGCAGCTGTCTGTTGTCAGTTCATGTTTTTAATATTCTAAATTCAGTTAAGATTATACAACCTATTTTATCTAATAACATATTTTAGAGTCTGATAACTAAAAATGTCCATCGGTTCATGAGTAAAATTATTCTAACATTTTTACACAACTCTCAATTAATTATCTCAATTTGTACGCAAAAAAAATTGCAAAGGGATTTGCTTTTGAAAATCAATTATTTACTATACTGTCATATACGTTATTATTATGACATTCAATGAAGCTTCGAAATAAATAATCTTAATAGCTATTTGCATGTCCTTAAATATTCCACTGATATGTAATTGTTAAAAAACCTGTTATTTATTCAGAGGTCCAACATCGATCAGTACGATGGACCAGATGTGACAGAATTATTCGTGGAATTCTGTAGTTCCAGTAGACTGACATTTCTTCCTAATTACAGCCAATACCTTCGTAACATAGTCACAGATTTCATTATTTGTGTAGCATACAACATCAGTTAGGAAATAGAAAGAAATTAAAAGTTGAAATTACGAAGAAAATATAAATAAGTATGCTCTATTATTCACCTGAAATTGGCATTTGTTTTATATCTTATGAATTCTAATATTTAAAATCTAATTTATGCCGTAAGACTAACCATACGTCACATCTGGTACACCTTTTAACTACATTTCTGTTTTTCTAAATGTATACAAATGCATTTGGGTAGTTATTTCCCGACTATTATCTTACCTTATTTGATCTAAATAATATTTCAATCTGCTTCTAATAGAAAATATAACACCGTAATTACAGAGATAAATTGATTAATGCTGTTTAAGGAAATAATCAACGTTTACACTTAAAATAGTATGAAATCTATCATCTACATTACTGAGTGTTAAAACAAATGGTATGTCTAGTTACCACTCGGCATTAAAGGATTAAATTAATAAATCCACACTATAAATTTCGAAACAACTGTTCATAAGAATCTGCTATATTACATAATAAACATAAATAAACGCTGAAGTGTGAACCACCGTATGTCTAACCACAAGGTTACTCAGTAGGGTGTCCTAATACATGAACCTGTGAACATGCTTTCTTTCAAGAAATGACAAATCTACGCATCTGGTGCGAAACAGACTCCATTAAGGTTACGTGTATTTTATTCATATTAATGCACGATAACCGTATTCAGGCATTAGCTCCTACCGCCGTCTGCTTCCAAACAATCATCTTTAAACTTGTTATTTTTTCCGGTTAAATTCCGGAGTTTAATTAAATTACAGCACTTCTGTCTCATTCTTTATCTAGACAATGGGTGTGGAGAATTATTCTCTGTGTCAGAGAAAATTAAAAGTTGCGGCTAGCGAAAAAAGAAATGTTTAAACGGAACAGACAAGGTAAAATGGAAGACGGACATATATCCTACAATTTCTTATTATCATACTTAAGAAGCGAGGTAACTACACAGCACCCAACGACAACAAACAGGAATATGTTCCTCATATAAAAAAACGTTTCACGTAAAATTTATGGTCGTCGGTAAACAATGCAAATTATTGATCGGACTCTGCTTTTCGAATTTCGTGCTGCAAGAACACACGTCCTAGGTACATAACTCTATAAAGCCAAAGTTCGCCTGAATTCAATCCGTACCTCAAAGAAAACACCACACTTCAACGATATAAACACAAATGTGTTAATGCTGTTTAATGAAATATTCCCTGTTTATACCGAGAAACATGGAAAACACACACTGCAGACATGTTGACTGTAAAATCAGGTGGGACATATAATTACCATTAGGCTTTAAAGGGTTAATATGAAAAGAAACTGGTGTACTTGCTCAGGTCCATTGTCGGATAATATAAGGGTGCATTTAGAGGAGTTGGTTTGTTTTATTTGTATTCGTTTCTTGAGGGTAGTTTGGTTCATTCGGTAGTATGAAGCAGGTCTGATAACAATGTGTTACCGCTTTCAATAGCAAGAGGTTGATATTTCACATCAGCCCGAATGTAGAGTTGTGTCTGTTTTCCGTCAAAGTGTCTGCACATATATCTATAACATAACTGCACCCGACGATACAATGGAGTGTGCTGTTCTGCCATGCATATGATTTTATTATCACTTCCCAGCGTTCACAGTTTGATATGCCTGTCAACCAGACACCGAAGTTAACTAGACGAAGAAAAATTCGTGTGTTTATGTATGAAAAGGTTATAAACTTTATGTCAAAAGAACTCCTTCTCTGATGTGCATATAGGAGCCTTCCACAGTGTAGTAGTACTTTCTAGGTTTACGACTCAGACCTGTTTAAACAGACATTCCACTAAGGCAAGCGTGTAAAATACAAGACGGGAGATGCCACAAGTTTTGTGTGATTTCTTTTGCGACGAGTTTCTGCTTTTTGTCAGTCCAGTACACAGATTACATTGCTAATCTTCTTGGCGTGTTTCAAACACTTTACGTAATAGCTGAGGATTATAATGGCCCTTCTCTGCTGTATTCAACTATATTACGAATACTAGCGTATGACCTGTAAAATTACAGAGGCATGGACCTATTTTATGTTGAACAGCAATATAGTTTATAGTAGCATTTTTTTTCGAAAATCGCATTAAAAGTACAAAATTGTTAAAACTTCTTTATCAAAAATATATATATATAAATTTTGCTTGTCGCCTCATTTGTTATACGTTGGTACCGAAGACATTTCCTCTGCATTAAACGCTGCTAACTTAGTTTCATTACTTAAATTAAATCGTGCCGTAGCTTAGATTCTTACGCGATGGCTTCTTACTGCAGTGACCGGGATTCAGTTATTAAAAGAATGAGATTCGTGGTAGTTCAATTGCACGGGATCAAGCCTTCTTCGAGTTCTTTGGTTTTCCGCAAATGATCACCAATCCATCATCACTGCATATTCATATGTCAACGCCACTTCTGGTACGCGACAGCCCTGACCAAACAGCTCATTAGCATACCCTCGGTCTTACGTTGGGGGGGGGGGGGGGTGACCCGGCACTCGGCTGATCTCGGAGGAAAGGTTGTTTTAATTCAGTTAACTTTTATATTGGCCGCTGAACATAACTCTTAGTTGTACAGACTTACAAGTATACATAATATGTTACGCTTCAGTCAATTTTTTGAGTTCATCTTTTCTGACGTTCTGCTTGTTGGCAGAATCCTAAAGCTAAAGATATAAACAGCGGAAAAGCAGTATACCTTTTTTTCCGAATCGAATGTACATTTCAGAAGTCTTAAAGTCGCACCGCCGTTCAAAACCAGAAGCTGTTGTACAAATTTCAAAACAAACAACATCGTTCCAAAGTTAGAGCTGAAAAGTAAGCTAGGGGAAAATGGTAAGTAAAAGCCTTCGTTGACTTGTTGCCCGAGAAGCCGTTTTATGACAACGGCCAGCAACTGACGAAGGCGACCAACAGTGTCGCGAGCTGATGTGTTAATGAGGCGGTCAAACAAAATCTTACCTTGTCCGGAGAAGACCCTGGCTCCACGGACCTGCAGCCGCTCGCTCTGTAAAAGAAGAAGGGTATTTGTTAGCTACTCATGCCGAAAATACTATGAAGGGTGCGCCATATATTCAGGGTATTATGAGATCTAGAATGCAAATTCTTCTTGCCTAAGGTACTATTTAAGTAGCCATTAGCCCACGAGTGAATAATATTTTCTGTTAGAACATAATGTCAAGGCAATTGGTCAATTACAAAAATAAAGAAATAAATAAAATGAGGAAGACAGAGAATTCCAAGAAACACGCCTAAACTTGTCATATTTCTCCAACTAAAATCTCTAATATAAATGAAGCAATTTCGATAAATTCCTAAACTAATTTATGATGCTATTTTACAAAGATATTAATGGAATGTTGTTCAGTAAGCTACTTTTTTGATAATATTAGTAATAATGCCTGTACAGTAACTATTATATCATCATGATCAGTGGCGCAGATAAAAATGTTGAGTAGAGCTTCCAGAAATGTCGGAAAAATAGAGTGGGACTTGGTACACGACAAGATTTACCCACAACAATACTTAAAACAATAAATAATTACTTGTGACTCTGTGAATAGGCTAGTCAACATTTCACTGTTGTAACCCTTAAGGAACCTTTGATTTTTGACACGAAGCCTAAGGTACTGTATCCCTTTCGAGTTCTTTGGTTAATTGAGGTAAATATTGATTAGCCTTGTAAAGAATAAAAGGTAAATATAAATATCTTAACACTGTATATTGTATATTAATTATAATTTGTATGACTTTATGGAAAATCTAGTGTTTAAAGAGGGGGGTTTAAGAGATTTAAAATGCTTTTTAGTATGTTCTTGCGTTTGTCGCCCTGAACAATAAAAACAGCATGGGTAGCCAATGTTCCTTTGTAATTTCTTCTTGTGTCTGGATCGGAAGTGACGTGTGCAGTGACAGAAACCTAAAAAGCAATTTCCGCCAAAGAGACATAAGAAATAGGTTTTCTTTAATTACTTTAAGAAAGGCTTTTAAATTTTCCAGTTAACCATACATACCAAATTTGATATTTCCTACTTTACCACGAATAATACAATTCTTAACAGTTCTAAATTTTATCTGACCATGTCACATCAAACGACTTTTTTCACTTGAGAATACCAGATGCAGGAAGCAACGGTTATGCTCAGCAGAGTTAATTTCTCAAAGTTCCTCTTGTCACCAGGCGACCACTTTCCATTACAATGGCTAGCAGTATTATACTAGTGTTCCAAGAAACCCAGATTTGGCAAGATTTCAGGTTCTCACGGCGGTGAATTTTAAGATGGCTGTCTTCTGGACTGTAGGGCCGTATAGTCTGGTAGAAGTTTCTCTAAAAGCGAATGCCCGGATTGCATCTTAAAGTAGACCACGACCAGTTCCTTCCATATAATTTCCAATTCTTAGACCTATATACTCTTGAGATACTGACAATGTCGTTAGATAAACCACAGGTAAATACACAGTATACTCAAGACCACAGTCTTTTGTCAGTTCTAACTTCAGGAAAAAATAGTAATTGCATTGTTTCAGAGCGATTTAACTTTAACAGCAGAACAAACAATGGGCACTTTCCATGGTATAATTGAATAACTGCCCTATTCTGAGATTCTGCAGTAGAAGTGTTTGCATTTTATAGCCGTCTAACAAAACTTGGGGAAGTTCGGGAACAATGTCACGCCAACGTGTGCCTGAGTTTCGTTTCACTTCATTCGATGACAAGACATTTCTAGTCACGAACAGAAAAGGCCTACATTAGACAGTGCTTGACTCAGATCCTAAGGGAGTGGATTTATAGAACGCTTGTTACCGCCTTGTTCCCCCGCCCCTCCTCGTTGCACCCCATTAATTTACCGGTGAGGGGTGGGGGTCTACGCAAGAAATAATTCTTGGGCAGAAACCGTAAAAGGAATACTGTAATTCAATGAAGAATTTTTTTATTTTGGACTTTGTCCATCGGCTAAATTATAAAATAGTAAAACTGCAACGTTTCGGAAGCTGGATTATACATAGACCATCTATCATCTTCCCCTTTTTATCTGAAGACGAAAGCAGAATCCAGCTTTGAAACGTTTAAATTTTAACTTATATATTGTAATTTTGGAAAACACTGGCCTACAAGGTGGTGTGGCCATGCGGGTTACAGGAAGGCAAATTTTTAAACACAAAATTAAAATTTTCGCTAATAAAATTCGTTTTAGAAGGTATCTAAGACGTTCACTAAATAATAACACTTTTTCTTTAGACTGCTGCAAGAATTATAATTCGGTGATTAAAGCGACTCGAATCACAAGTAAAGTGAGTGAGGCTAGGCTGTGGTGATCAATCTATAACCATACTGTATATAAGCCAGGATTATATCAAGACAAGGGACAGTCCCTCGTATTTCCACCCCCTAAAATCATTATTTGTGTCAGGTTATAGACAGGGCTGGCTGTGATCTGTTATGGTGTGGGCGTAGTGTGAGGGGGGAGAGGAGAGTGTCGGAGGTTTTTATAAAATTGGATTGGTTTGGTACCACTCTGTGTCACCTAGCCGACACATAATTCTGCAGCGAGTACTCTATACATCTCTTTAACAATGAACTAAGGCGACAGGTTCCTTTTACTCAGAGTAAAATGGTTCTTGAATCCAAGTATTAATCTATGTGACTTATTGAAAGTTTTTATTGTTTAAACATAATACAGGTAGTTACAGGGTAGCTGGGGTAATGAGGTTACAATGAGCACAATTTTACGTATTTAAATATCAAAAAAATATCTGTGATACACATTAGTTGCATGAAGAGATAGGTGATTATGTTACTTCAAGTGGTGCACAAATACCTTGTTTAACGATGCACCGACAAAAGATGGGATGTTTTAACTTTCTGTGTTGACATCTTGCTTCAAAGAAATACCTCTGGAGAAAATGTTTCCGGCAAAGCAATCAACTATTGATACGTTCTTCAAGAAGAGTGGACACGGCTCAGAAATTTACGCTACACAACCGACGTTTCGAAGTATCCTGTACTCATTCTTTCAAGTTATTGATTATCACTGTATTGAATCTCATGTTTGTTTAAAAAATAAGAACGATAAAGTTGGGCAGTTTAAATTAGAGGTATATAAATATCCTACTCCCCCTTTCAGGAAAAACAATAATTTTGTGCAAAAAAACCTTTTTAAATATGGTGTGAAAAATAAATTGGGTAGTAGTTAAGTTTTGTTGTTGGGGGTGAGTAGTAACATTTTTAAGAAAATAAGGGGGTGTTCTTTGTGGTTAAAGAAGAAAGGTTAATTTCTTTTCTAACGGGATATGTTTTTTTTCATGCTTCAAGAAGGCAGGCTTGTTTTAACCCAATTTATCATGTGTATAACCAATATGGATAGCACATAATGATACCTTATACATCCTGTTGGTTCAGAATCGCCATGCCTGTTACTGTTTCCCACACTTCAGGTTTATTGGCTCCACGTTCTGCGGGATCCTAAGACGATCCAACCTTTCCTTACACTGCCATGATTTAGAGCTACTTCACCCACTTCACAGTTGTGAACCTACCAGGCATGTTTCATTAACCATTTCTGCACGGCTCGGCTCTGTCTAAACCTCCAACGACTCGAGAGTGGCTTTCGCCTCGGGACGCTTTCCAGATTTAAATGTTCCAACTGCCATGATCATAGTATAATTGTACTGTTAGTGTTAAACAGTCTCGATTTACATGGCTTCAGGTGTTAATTTGTGTAGATTTAAATCATAACTTAAAGTGTGAGATAAAAAAGTAACACTTTAATATTAACTGTACTTATTGTCTCGTCAAATAGGATTAAGGAACATGTATGTATACGTCACCAGCAACATGCGACAGCAAAATAATATAGATCTATACTTTCAATGTGTCCGTTGTGTTAAAGTTAAAATTGCTTGCTATTTCCTGACTTGCAACGAAACGTCATTTATAAACGTACTATGCAATTACTTTTTGCCAGCAATTCGTGAATCATAAATTTCCAAGCTTCAAGTTAAGGCCACCAATGTAATTACGCTAATAATGATAATAATAATAATAATAATAACAACAACAGAACTAAATAACTTCACACATTCTGTTATTCATATTTCAATGACGCTATCATAGCAAACGCTCAGACAAGTGTTTAGGGATGACTATATAATTTCCTACTCTCTTTAAAGCGTTGTTTATTCTCACTCTGAAAACACACAATAAATAACTATATTTACTCTAAATAGCATGTCATTAATTATGAAAATGTGAAAGAAATGTGAGTTGTGAAGTAGATTTGTCTGCTCAGGATAAGGCACCAGAGCGAATTTATTGACCATCTAGGAGATTATAAGCTACATAAGGAGGACTTTGCTCTGTGGACTTCCTTCCGCTGTCATATGTCTTGAGGAATAGCACGTGTCCTACAAACTATACATATTCTCATACTCGATGGATAACTTGAAAATCAAACCAAGATATCAAGTGCACTGAAGAAGGGCTGAATACGTACATACTGTCTCCATCTCCACGTCAGCCCTGAAGATGGAGACAGTATGTTTCTCTGAAACGTTGGTGTCTGCCAACAAGTCTACACGGCGTTACAATCCGTAAGACCAAATCGACAACAAGATGTTAAATTACATTGTACGTATGCAAATTGAGTTTCCTATACGAAGGGTTGTTGGTGCTGCACTGGTAGGTGACCAGCCAGCATGCAGTTTGACGTGGTCCTGTGCCATCACTCCACACACCCTTCTTCTCACAAGAGTACTTACACGCCTTTACGACGTTTGAGTGACGGAGCGTGCTTTTAAGGCCCCCTCCCCCCAGCAATGCCAGCGATGTCGTGATGTGTCAGTCGGACACACGTCAGAAATGCTACGTGCTTGTCACGTGTCACGACTGCAACAGCAATCTCAAATAGCTGAAGAAACACTTCGGGTCTCATGTTCGGAACAAAACAAGACATGAAAATTTGCTGAAACAGTACAGCGTAAGAGATTTGATGTTTTCACGGCGGGGAGGATGATAATGATGATGATGATGTCTTTGTTGTTCTGAGATTTTTCGCGGAGAAATATTGTTTCCATCTTCAGGGATGGAATACTGATGCTGGAACGCTGTTGTAACCGTACTAGCGTTCTTGGCGCCAAAACCCAGAATGATATCAAGGAGTGTAGGTCCCAAGGTGGTGAAACGTATTTTATCAGATTTAGACGTCATGTTGTCGTCGTCATATTTAATATTAATATCATGGAGCCAGCCAGCTTAGCAATTAAACGAAAGCCGAGACTGTCATTTG